AAACCACGTGGGAGGTTTTGAAAAGTGCACTTTTCATTTTCATTACTGTCCTACCAGCAGCTACGGGTATAACTCTGTAAAGGAACAGGGTAGGTGGTGGGAAGGGAATAGCCTCAGAGATTCTGAAAAGTATGGGAGACATCCATGTACCTTGATTAAAGAAAACAAAAGCTGAGCATTATGTAGAGCAGGAATACAGTAAGAGACAAGGTCTGTCAACAGCATTGCTTGTGCAGATGACTATATTCTGAGTAAATTCTAGTCCAGAACATTCTGTGAGGAAAGGAGGGAGGGAGGAGGAGTACCTACTGTGGTGGTGTTTTCTCAGTTAGGTGATAACCTGGCTTTATTGGTGAGAACTAATTCTTGGGAAGGTCAGGGCGTTGCTAAAGATAACATAGTCATACAGTGCTGTGTGCCATGCACTGCTAGACCAACTCATTTTATTTTGAGACAGAGCCAGGATTTGACCTGGGTCTTTCTTTTTTTTTTTTTCTTTTTTTTTTTTTTTGAGACGGAGTCTCACGCTGTTGCCCAGGCTGGAGTGCAGTGGCGCGATCCCGGCTCACTGCAAGCTCCGCCTCCCGGGTTCCCGCCATTCTCCTGCCTCAGCCTCCTGAGTAGCTGGGACTACAGGCGCCCGCCACCGCGCCCGGCTAATTTTTTGTATTTTTAGTAGAGACGGGGTTTCACTGTGGTCTCGATCTCCTGACCTTGTGATCCGCCCGCCTCGGCCTCCCAAAGTGCTGGGATTACAGGCTTGAGCCACCGCGCCCGGCCTGACCTGGGTCTTTCTTACCCTGTATATAACCTGTGCTGCCTTTTATCTTGTGGGACAGGAAACCTCAAATGTTGACATTGTACATATTACAGCACCCCAGGCATTCATTCAGCAAATGTCTGTCTAATTTTTATTGGACATTGGGAACAATGAAAAGAATGAAAAGTGTTTATTTGCTAGTAAGTATTAGATGGTAATTCCTTTTACAGATTAGTTTCATTTCATCACAACCTTCCAAGCACCTAGTAGACACACCATGTGTCTTCATTTAAGTAGTTATAGTAGCGTGCTTTCTTCCTTTACTTTAGATTTGAGTCATCAGGGTGATCTCCAAGAAAATCTTTTTTTTTTTTTTTTTTTTTTACGACAGGGTCTCGCTCTGTTGCCTAGGCTAGGCTGCAGTGGCACGATCTCGGCTCATTGCAACCTCTGCCTCCGGGATTCAAGCGATTGTCCTACCTCAGCCTTCCAAGTAGCTGGGATTACAGGCATGCACCACCACGCCCAGCTAATTTTTGTATTTTTAGTAGAGATGAAGTTTCACCATGTTGGCCGGGCTGGTCTTGAACCCCTGACCTCAAGTGATCCTCTTGCCTCGGCCTCCCAAAGTGCTGGGATTACTGGCATGAGCCACTGCACCCGGCCATCCAAGAAAATCTAAAAAGTTACGTGACTTACAGGTCACATTAGTAAGAATACCGTATTGTTTACAGTATGGCAGATGTCCTATATAACTTCAGCTGCAGCATTCGGAATCTACTGTGTTACTGTCTTACTCTTCCTACCACCAGCTGATTCTTTCTTTCTTTCTTTCTTTCTTTATTTATTTATTTTTTTTTTTGAAACGGAGTCTCGCTCTGTCGCCCAGGCTGGAGTGCAGTGGCCGGATCTCAGCTCACTGCAAGCTCCGCCTCCCGGGTTCCCGCTATTCTCCTGCCTCCCGAGTAGCTGGGACTACAGGCGCCCGCCACCTCGCCCAGCTACTTTTTGTATTTTTTAGTAGAGACGGGGTTTCACCGTGTTAGCCAGGATGGTCTCGATCTTTTGACCTCGTGATCTGCCCGTCTCGGCCTCCCAAAGTGCTGGGATTACAGGCTTGAGCCACCACGCCCAGTTAAAAAACAAAAGAGGAGATGAAAATGGAGTAGCATTCAACAAATACTTGTATGTGTCTTATAATTTGTAGCTAAATCTAGTTGCAGACAGTGGGCACGGGCTTTACAGGCTTTGTTACTGATGTAGCAGGAGGGACTCTGAGGAGATAACATCTGCCCAAGAACCACGGGCAGGACTAACCCCTGTGCTGGGCTACTCCAGGGACTCCTGCATCACTTGTTCAGCCTGTGCCTGTGTTTGCTCAAAGATGATGTCACTGGTGATCATACATACATTCCTTACTCAGTTAAGGTAGATAATAGTGTGCTCTCAGACTTGAGATTTTACAGCAGAAGCTTAAGGTTCATTTGTTGTTCATTTACCAAGTATTTATTAAAGGAAGGAACCCTTCGAGCCAGTTTTAAACAAGCAGACCCCCAGAGTTGACCCTCAATTTACCGCAGATCGTTTTCGCCTTTTGTCCTTACATATTCCTGAGTGCATCTCATGACCTGGTTTTTAATCAGCTGGCCTGCCGTCTGTTTCTAGGTCTGGTATGCTGCCATTTGCATCTCATCTCCTCCAGTATGAACCCCCACATTACCTGTGTCTCTCTGCAGGGTTCTGGCCAGGTATACAGAACCACCTGTTCAAGCAGCCTCATCTGACGCTTTTTAGAACCTTAGAGCACTTTTATTTGGCATAATCTACTGTATTGTGAAGTAAAAAGCAAGGGACACACTTTGGAGTAATTCCCTGCCCTGCTTTTTTTTGTTTTTTTGTTTTTTTTTGAGAGATGAAGTCTTGCTCTGTCACCAAGGCTGGAGTGCAGTGGCACGATCTTGGCTCACTGCAACCTCAGCCTCCCAAGTAGCTGGGACTACAGGCATGCGCCACCACGCCCAGCTGATTTTTGTATGTTTAGTAGAGATGAGGTTTTACCACGTTGGCCAGGGTAGTCTTGATCTCTTGACCTCCCGATCCACCCACTCCAGTCTCCTGAAGTGTTGGGATTACAGGCGTGAGCCACCGCGCCCGGTCTTTGCCCTGCTTTTTAAAATCACCAGTTAGACTTTTGTGATGAACTATGGTCATTTCATTTGTCATCTGCTGACTTTCAAGTAAGTTGAAATTTTACTATAATCTGAGTGAAGTAACCAGTTTGTAACTATTTTAAATATTAAAACAAATGGAAAATTAGTGGTTTTATATTAGAATTAATATTGAGCTGCAGTATATAATTAGTTGCTGTTTGAATTAGATAGACTTTTTCTTTTATCAATGGAATATTTTCTCCCAATTTTTAGAATACATGCTTCTATAAGAGTTGGAATTCTTTTTCAAAATTGATTTCTGTTTCCTAAATTGGTTGACAGTTCTCCCAGAGCTGGGAGCATGCTTTTGGTATAATCGCATAGCAAACGGAGATGGAGAAGCTCAGACTTGTTAGGACTCCTCTGTTTACTCTTTGTGTCATAGTGGGAAAGTGGATCACTCTGAGCCTGTCTTCTGTAAGTTTGGCCATTGTACCTAGAGAGTAAGATTTAGGAGCCAAGAGGGAATAGGGACTAGTCAGGATTTTACTGCCTACCTTCATACAGTTCTGTACTACTTGATTTTTTTTTTAGCTTGTGTTATTATTTTTTTAATTCATAAAGGAAAATCGTGCATGAACATATGGCAGTGCTATTGACTAGTGCATTATTTTTTCTTGTACATTTGGGAAGAAAGATTAGAATATCCTCAGGGAGGAAATTGATTCATCTTTGGGGGTGGCAGCTTCTTTTGGAGGTTGAGTCAATTCGTTTTCCTTGGTATTTTCCATGGTACTTGAAAGCTAGCCACCTTGTATTGGAGGAGTACATATTTGAAAGCAAATACCAAGCACTGGGCCATGTAATCTATCTCTTCAGAATTTTTTAAAACATAAGAATAGTTTGTTCATTATTCAACCTGAGCTGAGACTAAAAATGACCCCCAATTTCATACTTATTTTTACTGCTAAACATATTGTTTAAAGTAATACTTGTTTGTTGTAGAAAGTTTTAAGTAGAACTAAAGGTTTTGTCTTTCTTTTCCTTTTTTCTTTTTTTGAGACGGAGTCTTGCTCTGTCACCATGCTGTAGTGCAGTGGTGCAATCTCGGCTCACTACAACCTCTGCCTCCCGGGTTCAAGCGATTCTCCTGCCTCAGCCTCCCAAGTAGCTGGGATTACTGGTGTGTGCTACCACACCCAGCTAATTTTTGTATTTTTAGTAGAGATGGGGTTCTGCCATATTGGTCAGGTTGCTCTTGAACGCCTGACCTCAAAGTCATCCGCCTGCCTCAGCCTCCCAAAGTACTGGGATTACAGGCGTGAGCCACCGCATCTGGCCCTGACTAATTATTTTTAAAAATTATTTGTAGAGACAGGATCTCACTATGTTATCTAGGCTAATCTAGAACTCCGGGCCTCAAAGGATCTTCCCGCCTCAGCTTCCGAAGTGTTAGGATTACAGGCATGAGCCTTTGTTTTTCTCTTTTAAAGAAGACTCATAATCTCATCACCAGGTGATAACTGCTGTTAATATGTCAGAATATTCATTCAGAAGTTTCTCTGTGGGATCAATAACTGTATTATAATGATTCTGTTTTGTTACTGTCTGTTCTTTTAGTCTTGTACATGACAAGTGTATTAGTCTGTTTTTATGCTGTTGGTAAAAACATTCCCAAAACTGGGAAGAAAAGGAGGTTTAATGGACTTACAGTTTCACATGGCTGGGAAGGCCTTACAGTCGTGGTGGAAGGTGAGGAGGAGCAAGTCATGTTTTACATGGATGGCAGCAGGCAAAGAGAGAGAGCTTGTGCAGGGAAACTCCCCTTTTTAAAACCATCAGATCTTGTGAGACTTACTATCAGGAGAATAGCACAGGAAAGACCATCCTCCATGATTCAGTTACCTCCTATTGGGTCCCTCCCACAACACTTGGGAATTGTGGGAGATACAAATCAAGATGAGATTTGGGTGGGGACACAGCCAAACCATATTAGCAGGCCTGAAATATACACGTGTATCAATTCTAGTGGACCATAGGGTGTGCTCTGTCCCTCAGTTTGTTTACTGGCGTCTCATCTTGTTTTTCAGTGGACGAATACATTGCCATTGCCAAAGAAAAGCATGGGTACAACATGGAACAGGTAATATCATGGTTTTCTTTCTTTTGCTGTTAAAAATGAGTATTTATAACTAAATAATTTTATTTTTTTCTTCTCTGTATTGAGTAGCAGTGTTTCCTCATTAGCAATTTTTTGGTAATTACTAGTAGTGTTACACAAACTCTGGTCTTCTTTTTCTTGTTCAAGATGAATATTAGAGGACGCTTTGACTTGAAAGGCACATCTGTGCATTTCAGCAGATCTACAGCCTTTAGGACACTGATTACTTAGTGATTACTAAGGAGCTGGATGCTTGAACATAGTGCTTTCACATAGTGCTTTCTCATGTGAATATGTGATTTTTCATTCTTCTGGTTGTATAATGATGTTTTTTGACGCATGTTTTCACATTCTTACCTGAAGTGTTTTAATATTCACCATTTTGAATAATTTTCAGGTTGTAAATGTTTGATTAAAGTCCCTCCCCTCCCCTCCCATCCCTTCCCTTCACCTTCCCTTCCTTGAGATGGAGTCTTGCTCTGGCAACCAGGCTGGAATGCAATGGCGCATCTCAGCACATTGCAACCTCTGCCTCTGGGGTTCAAGTAATTCTCGTGCCTTGGCCTCCCAAGTTGCTGGGATTACAGGCGTGCACCACCACGCCTGGCTAATTTTTGTATTTTTAGTAGAGAAGGGGTCTCCCAAAGTGTCGGGATTACAGGCGTGAGCCACTGCGCCCGGCCAAGATTTTCTTTTAAATGTTGTTTGGAATGTACTAATAAGAAATCCACAAGATTTATTTTTCTGCAAAAGTGTGATGATACCTTGTTTCAGCTTTAATGATTTACTTTAAACACATCAAGTTGGATTAATGCTTTCCATGGCATTAATCTAGATCTTAAAACCTGTAGGTTACTGACATTTCTTATTTTTCTGAATGATGGAAGTTACCAAAAGTTTAGATTATGTGAAATTGTATACTTTCTTTTGGACTTGGCCTTACATTTAATTACTCTATCCTGGTCATTGAAGCTACTTCTAATTATTAGATGATTGCAAAATATACCTGTATGAATTCTTAAGGATGGTAGTCTTGATCATTTCTCCTTTAAAAATGATCATTAGTGTCCAGGCGCAGTGGCTCACACCTGTAATTCCAGCACTTTGGGAGGCTGAGACGGGCGGATCGCGAGGTCAGGAGATCAAGAACACCCTGGCTAACACGGTGAAACCCCATCTCTACTAAAAATACAGAAAAAAAAAATTAGCCGGGCGTGGTGGCGGGCGCCTGTAGTCCCAGCTACTCCGGAGGAGTAGGAGAATGGCGTGAAACTGGGAGGCGGAGCTTGCAGTGAGCCGAGATGGTGCCACTGCACTCCAGCCTGGGCGACAGAGCGAGACTCCATCTCAAAAAATAAATAAATAAAAAATAAAAAAAGAGCATTAGCATGAAAATTCCCTATATTATAATTCTAGTGTAAAAATTACCATTAGCAAAGTATTGCTAGATTATCTCATTTTACCTCTTTTGTTGCTTGTTCTATTTCTACCATTTTTCTAAGCTGAGACCTTTATATATCATATATATAACATATATATATAGTTTTTAAAAGAATAAACAACAATTGTGCTTTCATAAATTACCTTCTTCGTTTATATATTGAGGCAGTAAAGTGTGGTACTTGAAGAGCACAGATCCTAGAACCATGCTGGTTCTGTGACCAGTGGCAAGGAAAGTCAGTGCCTCAGAGAAGACCTTCAGTTTATACTCAGGCTGATCCTCAGCATGGAGGCAAGCCTACAACTAAAAGAAAGCAAAACCTTAGTAAAAACGTAGCAAACCCTGAGGAGGAGTGTGATTATGAGTTACTACCTTATTAGATGTCTAGGTTTTAACAGAAAAATCACAGAGCATACAAAGAAATGGTAAATTATGCCCATTCGGTAGAAAAAAATTGATCAACAGAAACTGTCCCTGGGAAAAGACCTTAGTGGCAGATCTACTAGGCAAAGATTTTAATACAACTATCTTAAAGATATTTTTAAAGAACTAATAGAAGATACAGAAAAGGTCAAGAAAATGATGTATGAACAAATGGAAATAACAGTAAGGAAATGGAAAACCTAAAAGGAAATCAAATTGAAATTCTAGAGCTTAAACTCTTGAAATGAAAAATTCACTAGACATGCTCAAAGGCGGATTTGAAGAGTCCCAAGAAAGAATAAGAAAGAACGTGAAGAAAGGACAGTGGCAATGATTCAAGTCTGAGCAGCCAGATGAGAAAAGATTGAAGAGTAACCAGAGCCTAAGGTACCCTAGGAACACACTGGGTGGACTAACATATGCATGTGAAAGTTGCATAAGGGGTAAGAGAAAGAGATAGGAACAGAGAAATTATTTGAAGACATAGGGGCCAAAAACTTCACAAATTTGATGAAAGACGTGAATATAAACATCCAAGAAACTCAGTGAACTCCAGGTAGGATAAACTCAAACTCACCAAAGCACATAATGAAACTTCGAAGAGAGAGAGAATCTTGATAGCAGCAAGAGAGAACTAACCTATTACATATAAGGGATCCTGAATAAGCTTGTTAGGGTATTTCTTGTCAAAACCTTTGGAAGCCAGAGGAAGTGGGCTAATATATTCAAAGCAGCAAGAGAAGAAAACTGTCAACTAAGAATTCTGTATCTGAGAAAATGCTTTCAAAAGTAAAGGGGAGAAATGAGGATATTCTCAATTAAAAGCTGCTGGAGAGTCTCTCTGAAGAGGCCATAGTGGAGCTGAACTTGTGAACTGGTAATCCCATTGTCTATAAATTGGACAAGAACTTGAAGCCCATCAAGCCCATGAATGAAAAAAGTTCCTGGGGGATGAAGAGACCGTGCATAAAGCCATGGAAGCTGTGGCTGCCCAGGACAAGGCCCAGAAGTGAAGGCCAGCAAGCTGACTGCTCTCTCAGGGAACACTCCCTGCCCAACCATTCTTCTTCACCTCCTTTCTGCACATGCCACACTGACCACATCTGTAGGCATCTTACGTTGCAGCCGCAGATGGGAACTCGTGGCTCCCATTTTCATTGTAACCATTTTTGTCTCCTGCACCCACTTGCTTCATATAATCTAGTCAGAATAGCACCTCTGGTGCAGGGAGAAAGTTCCCCTTATCCAAGAGAGTTGAGAGGTAGTGACTTGGGCTTTTGCCAGGGCTTTGTTTACTAAGGACCTTTGCAGGAGGAGCCATGCTGTCATGACCAAGGAGGAGAAGCAAAGAGAGCCTTTTTGACCCCAGGAGCCAATCCTGTACTCTTCTCTAGTCAGACTACTGTCAGGAGAGCTCTGCTCATTCCAGTGGAAGATGGCTATAACCTGCACAGTGATGTGAAAAAACAACCATTTCCTCCCTGACCCCAGGGAAGGTGGCTCTAGAAGGTTGAGAGCAATTCTGTATTAAGTTCATGTGTTAGATTTACTTTTCCAAAAAATTGTATGTAAAAATAATACAAAACAAAAACCCTTCTGGGATTTTTAATTTTTTATTTATTTATTTTTATTTTATTTTTTTTTGGGGAGACAGAGTCTCACTCTGTCACCCAGGCTGGAGTGCAGTGAAGCAATCTCGGCTCACTGCAAGCTCTGCCTCCCGGGTTCACGCCATTCTCCTGCCTCAGCCTCCCATGTAGCTGAGACTACAGGTGCCCGCCACCGCACCCAGCTAATTTTTTTTAATTTTTTAAAAATTTTTAGTAGAGACGGGGTTTCACCGTGTTAGCCAGGATGGTCTCGATCTCCTGACCCCGCGATCCACCCGTCTCGGCCTCCCAAAGTGCTGAGATTACAGGCATGAGCCACCGTGCCTGGCCTTGTTTTATTTTTTTGAGACGGAGTCTCGCTGTGTCACCCAGGCTGTAGGGCAATGGTGTGATCTCAGCTCACGGCAACCTCCGCCTCTCGGGTTCAAACGATTCTCCTCCCTCAGCCTCTTGAGTAGCTGGGATTACAGGTGCCCGCCACCATGCCTGGCTGATTTTTGTATTTTTAGTAGAGACAGGGTGGTCTCACCATGTTGGTCAGGCTGGTCTCGAACTCTGACCTCATGATCCACCCACATCGGCCTCCCAAAGTTCTGGGATTACAGGTGTGAGCCACCGCGCCCAGCCCCCTTCTGGAATTTTTGGTAGCAGTTGAAGTAGTCCCACATGTGGTCATCAGAAAATAAGCCATTCCATCCTAGACAACATGGCAAAATCCTGTCTCTAGAAAAAATTAAAATCGGCCAGACACGGTGGTATGTGTCTGTGGTCCTAGCTACTTGGGAGGATGAGGTGGGAGGGTTAGTTGAGCCCAGGAGGTTGAAACCAGCGTGGGCAATATAGTGACACCTCATCTCTATAAAAAATTTAAAAATCACCTAAACGTGGTAGTGGGTGCCTGTAGTCTCAGCTACTCTGGAGGCTGAGGTGGGAAGATTGCTTGAGCCTGGGAGGCAGAGGTTGCAGTGAGCCAAGATCATGTCATTGCACTCTAGATCACAACTCTGTATCAACAACAACAAAAAAATAAAAATAAAAAAAGGAAAAGAAGCCATTCCTCACACCAACATGGGATAAACTTCTTGACCTCTAAGGGGTAGGATTGCATCCTGCTATGGGTTTTCGAATCCCTCCCCTACCTTGTTTTGTGGCAGTGAAATGCCTCTTGATCATGTCCAAATATTTCTTTCACTGACTGATTTCTAAATCGTGTTTTAATTGCTTGGCTCTGCCATGTGGACCCAGTATTCATTGTGAGCATAACTGTACTAAATCTTTCTTTCTAGATCAGTGTAATAAAGGCCTAATGTGCAATTTAAAATAAATAAAAACTTGTGTCTTTTTGTTTGTTTTGTTTTGAGACAAGGTCTTGCTCTGTTACCCATGCTGGAGAGCAGTGGTGTGATCATAGCTCACTGCAGCCTCAAACCCCTGGGCTGAGTCAAGCAGTCCTCCTGCCTCAGCCCCTCAAGTAGCTGCAATTACAGGCGTGCACCACCATGCCTGGCTAACTTGTTGTTTGTTTGTTTTTCGTAGATTCATGGTCTTGCTAGGTTCCCCAGGCTGGTCTCCAACTTCTGAGCTCAAGTGATCCTCTCACCTCGGCCTCCCAGAGTGCTGAGGTTATAGGTGTGAGCGACAATGCCCAGCCTCAGAAAATAGTTATAGAATATATACACAATGAAATGGAAAGAAATTTAAATCTTTCACTATAAATAATCAACAAAACATAAAAATGAGACTGGACGTGGTGGCTCACACCTATAATCCCAGCACTTCGGGGCAGATCACTTGAGCTCAGGAGTTGGAGACCAACCTAGGCAACATGGCGAAACCCTGTCTCTACAAAAAAAAATTAGCTGCACATGGTGGCATGCACCTGTAGTCCCAGCTGCCCAGGAGGCTGAATCAGGAGAATTGCTTAAGCCTGGAAGGGAGAAGGTTGCAGTGAGCCAAGATCATGCCATTGCTCCTCCAGCCTGAGCAATGAGAGTGAAACCCTGTCTTTAAAAAAATAAAATAAAATAAATAAAACCTAAAAAGACAGTAATTCAGGAAATGAAGGACATAAAAAGCTTTAAGGAGTATACGAAACAAATAGCCAAATGACAAAAGTTCCTCCTTATCAGTGATTACTTTAAATATAAATGGATTAAACTTTCCAAAGGACAGAGATTGTCAGAATGGGTAAAAAATACAGAATCCCACTATATACAAGAGGTTTACATTAGCTCCGAAGACACAATTTTAAAGTGAAAGGGTGGAAAATGGTATCCCATGCAAGTAGTAACCAAAGAAAGCAGGAGTGATTATAATAATATCAGTCAAAATAGACTTTAAATTTAAAAAGGTTATAAGAGACAAGGACATTCACTGTTGGTGAGAATGTAAAATGGTACACCCGGTGGGGAAAACAGGATGGCAGCTCCTTAAAAAATTAAAAATAGAATTACGGGCCGGGCGCGGTGGCTCAAGCCTGTAATCCCAGCACTTTGGGAGGCCGAGACGGGTGGATCACGAGGTCAGGAGATCGAGACCATCCTGGCGAACACCGTGAAACCCCGTCTCTACTAAAAAATACAAAAAACTAGCCGGGCGAGGTGGCGGGCGCCTGTAGTCCCAGCTACTCGGGAGGCTGAGGCAGGAGAATGGCGTCAACCCGGGAGGTGGAGCTTGCAGTGAGCTGAGATCCGGCCACTGTACTCTAGCCCGGGCTACAGAGCGAGACTCCGTCTCAAAAAAAAAAAAAAAAAAAAAAAAAAATAGAATTACCATATTATCCACCAATTCTACTTCTGGCCAAAGTGGGTAGATCAGTTGAGCCCAGGAGTTCAAGACCAGCCTGGGCAACATGGCAAAATCCTGTCTCTACAAAAAGTACAAGAAATTTGGCTGGGAATGGTGACTCACGCCTGTAATCCCAGCACTTTGGGAGGCCGAGGCGGGCGGATCGCGATGTCAGGAGATCAAGACCATCCTGGCCAACATGGTGAAACCCCGTCTCTACTAAAAATAAAAAAAAGTTAGCCGGACGTGGCGGCAGGCGCCTGTAGTCTCAGCCACTCAGGAGGCTGAGGCAGGAGAATGGCGTGAACCCGGGAGGCGGAGCTTGCAGTAAGCCGAGATCGCGCCACTGCACTCCAGCCTGAGCAACAGAGCGAGACTCCATCTCGAAAAAAAAAAGAAATTAGCTAGGTGTGGTGGCATGTGCCTGTATTCCCAGCTACTTGGGAGGCTGAGGCAATCAAGGATGATCACCTGGCCCTGGGAGGTGGAGGTTGCAGTGAGTACCACTGCACTCTGGCCTGCGTGACAGAGCCAGACTCTGCCTCAAATAATAATAATAATAATAATAGTAATAATAAATTAAAACAATTTTTTTTGAGACAGAGTTTCGCTCTTGTCACCCGGGCTGGAGTGCAATGGCATGATCTCGACTCACTACTGCAACCTCCACCTCCCAGGTTCAAGTGATTCTCTTGCCTCAGCCTCCCGAGTAGCTGGGATTATAAGCGCAAGCCACCACACTTGGCTAATTTTTGTGTTTTTAGTAGAGATGGGGTTTCGCTATGTTGGCCAGGCTGATCTTGAACTCCTGACCTCAGGTGATTTGCCCACCTCAGCCTCCCAAAGTGCTGGGATTACTGGCATGAGCGACCACACCCGATCAATAATAATAATAGTCTTAAAGACAGAAAGTCGAATGATAGTTGTCAGGGGCTGGGGTTTGGGAGGAATAGGGAGAGGGAATAGGAACTGTTGTTTAATGGGTACAGAGTTTCCCTATTACAAGTTGAAAAGAGCTCTGGAGATGGATATTGGGATGATTGTACAACATTATGAATGTATTCAATACTACTGAGCTGTTCACTTGGATGGTTAGGTGGATAAAATTTATGTATTTATGTTTTTTTTTTTTTCTTTTTTTTTTGAGACGGAATCTCGCTCTGTTGCCCAGGCTGGAGTGCAGTGGCGCGATCTCAGCTCACTGTAACCTATGCCTCCCTGGTTCAAGTGATTCTCCTGCCTCAGCCTCCTGAATAGCTAGGATTACAGGCATGCGCTACCACACTCAGTTAATGTTTTGTATTTTTAGTAGAGTCTTTTGTAGAGGGTTTCGTCATGTTGACCAGGCTGCTCTCAAACTCCTGACTTCATGTGATCCACCTACCTCAGCCTCCCAAAGTGCTGGGATTACAGGTGTGAGCCACCGCGCCTGGCCGAAATCAAGTTTCTATTAGAAAAATGGAGTAACAGTAATAAATCCTCCCTCCCTCCCTTGACAAGTCTCTGTCACCCAAGCTGGAACAACCTCTGCCTCCCAGGTTCAAGTGATTCTCCTACCTCAGCCTTCTGAATTGGTGGGACTACAGGCATGCGCCACTATGCCCAGCTAATTTTTTTTTGAATTTTTAGTAGAGAGAGGGTTTCACCATGTTGGCCAGGCTAGTCTTGAACTCCTGACCTCATGTGATCCACCTACCTCGGCCTCCCAAAGTGCTGGGATTACAGGTGTGAGCCACCACACCCAGCCAGTTTCTAAGGAGTGAAAGCCAGTATTCATTTTTCATTTCATCTCTTTATGTTCATGCTAATTTTTAACTATTTTAGAATAATTGTTTGTAGATAGTTTCTCTGTGATCACTTCCCTGATGATACCTATGTTGCCATACCTAACAAGTATCACCTTCCCTTGTTGCTGTACCTAACAAGTTATCACCATCCTAAATTGTATACTTATCGTTTCCAAGAAAAATATTTTTATTGTATGTGTAATTTCCAATTAAAATATACTGTATTTTGCTTGAAAATTAAATAATTTATTTAAATTGCTTCACTCTTTCTTGATACTTATACCTATATTAAAAGACATACCTATAATAAAAATTACATCACCTGAAAAAAAAAGTATGTTGTGTGTATGTTACCACAATTATAAAGAATAGCAAAAGGGGCATCTGACAGTGTCTGCCACTTAGCACTGTATATGAGTGAGTTTGTCTAAATATGAAGTAGTTCTCACTTTTCTTTCTTTGGTCTCATTTCCATTTTCATTGTTTTTTTATGTAAAATTTCACTGATATGATTTTTGTAGGCTCTTGGGATGCTCTTCTGGCATAAACATAATATCGAAAAGTCGTTGGCTGATTTGCCCAACTTTACCCCTTTCCCAGATGAGTGGACTGTGGAAGATAAAGTCTTATTTGAGCAAGCCTTTAGTTTTCATGGGAAAACTTTTCATAGAATCCAACAAATGGTAAGTAGATGAGACCACTGAGTTCTAACTAGTTTTTTCTCTTAGCTACTCTCTTCTGCAGCATACTTGAGATAGGGATATCATACTCAAACATAAATATTCCCATTTTTGATAAAGTTCCCCTTTCGAAGATTCAGCTTAGTACGTGCTGCTCTGTGGAGAGGAGTTTTCCAGTTATAGAGTAAAGCACTTCTAGCACTTCCCATCCTGTCATCTGTGATTGGACCCTCCCCACCCGCCCCAGTCCCTCTTGTTGGGACTCCCAAAAGATTAGACCCGTACGAAGGATCTTTTTTTTTTTTTTTTTTAAGACGGAGTCTCGCTCTGTCACCAGGCTGGAGTACAGTGGTGCGATCTTGGCTCACTGCAGCCTCCACCTCCCGAGTTCAAGCGATTCTCGTGCCTCAGCCTCCTGAGTAACTGGGACTACAGGCGCATGCCACCACGCCCAGCTAATTTTTTGTATCTTTAGTAGAGACAGGGTTTCACCATATTAGCCAGAATGGTATCAATCTTCTGACCTCATGATCTGCCCGCCTCAGCCTCCGAAAGTGCTGGGATTACAGGTGTGAGCCACCGCGCCCAGCACAAAAGATCTTTCATGGTTATCTGAGGTGGTGCCTCAAGGGGCTCTGTCTGCTTGGGAACAGCTGACTTATCATTTACATTCTGGAAAGCTCTTTGGTAGGCTCCTACTTAAAAGCTTACTGACATTTGCATTAAGTGTTAAAATGAATTTTTAAAAAATAAACTAAGTTTTATTTAAGGACATTGGGTGTGTGAAAACTCTTGATTCATCTTGAACTGGTTTTCATTGACTAAGTTTCACTTACAAACTTTAGTAATTTAAAATGTCTATTGATAAGAATCCATTTATCAATTTTTTCTTATCAGAAAAAAGGGCTATGGCTTCAGACATAGAAGAGTGATCCTTATTAAAGGTACCTAAACATTTGATTTTTCAAGATTACTTTTATATTCAAATAAACCAACTCATTTTTTATGTTTAGCTTCCTGATAAATCTATAGCAAGTCTGGTAAAATTTTACTATTCTTGGAAGAAGACAAGGACTAAAACTAGTGTGATGGATCGCCATGCCCGGAAACAAAAACGGGAGCGGGAGGAGAGGTGAGCACGTGGCTGGGGTGTTGTCTAACCACTTAGGGGACTATCTGAGAGCCCCAGATACACAAAGGCAAGGCAGAATGACTGGTTTTCTCCCCGTGCCTTCCCGGTGGAACTGCATGTTCATGAGATGTATTGGAGTGTGTTACATTATTCAGGGATTTTTTCTCACCACTCTTTCCCTGCAGTCAGTGAACTTCCATTTTGAGTCAGTTAACTTTGACCCATTTTTTTTCCTGCCCCTTTAGAAGGGGTGGCTCCTTTTAATAAAAAATAATCTTTTATTTTGTAGTTTGAGGTTTAATATGACATATTTTTACAAGATTCATTTGGTGTGTTTTTATCTTCGTCATGTGGAAACAAAAACACAACAATACAATTTAGAGTTGCTTCTTCTTTTTTTGACCATCTGTTTTTTGTGTGTGAATGAGAAAGAGAAACATTTTATGATTTTTTTTTTTTTTTTTTTGAGACAAGTCTTGCTCTGTCGCCCAGGCTGGAGTGCAGTGGCGCGATCTCGGCTCACTGCAAGCTCCGCCTTTCTGCAAGCTCCCAGGTTCACGCCATTCTCCTGCTTCAGCCTCCCAAGTAGCTGGGACTACAGTCACCCACCACCTTGCCTGGCTAATTTTTTTGTATTTTTAGTAGAGACGGGATTTCACCATGTTAGCCAGGATGGTCTCAATCTCCTGACCTCGTGATCCGCCCACCTCAGCCTCCCAAAGTGTTAGGATTACAGGCTTGAGCCACTGTGCCCGGCCTATAATTTCTTAATAAGGATGTTAGTTTTAAGGATAGCTTAGTATGGAGAATACTTCCTAACCATCACTTCCTCAGTCTTGTATGTAGCTTAGAGAAGTGGAAATGGCCAACTCACACTCAGAAATGGGTTCTAGTCTCAGCTCTGAAGATTCCACTTACATGCCACAGGCTACACTGGGATGTTTAAGGTCTTTCATTTATTTTTTAACATAGTAAAATTGTACATACAGGCAGGTGAGTTCAACATGCGTCTTCCCCAAGCCTCTTGTTTTCCTTAACTCTAAAATGAAGATGTTTGAAGTCCAGAAGGCAGCACGCAGACCTAATGGTTTTCTTGTTAAAGTGGTGAGAGATATAGGTAGGTTTTAAAAAATCCTATTTTCCACATTTCCTGTCATATTTTTATCAATAATAAAAAAAAAAATCAAGGAGGATGAAATACACGGTCCCCGGCGTCCCATCTCAGGATGGAATTTTATCATTTCAAATGAAAAAGTAACATGTGAGAACACATTGAAAGTTGAGTATCACTTTTGGAGAATTCAAACCTCTTGGCCCAAGTATAAATTGAGAGTGATGTTAGGAACATCTCCAAAGCTCTTTTCAATTGTAAGAGCCTATAAAATTATTGACTATGATACATCTGCATATTTTTGCCTCCGACTTACATACTAGTAGGTCTGTTTAGGGATGAGTGCTCTTATCAATTTTTAATGAAGCTTTTTCATTTCCCTAGTTTACTGTCTGTATAGTAAGTCTGTTACTACAAGCAGGTGCAGTTTACTAAACAGCAATCAAAATTAAATAATACAGAATGGGATTGGATATCCTTGAGTATGAAATAAGAATACCTGCCAACACTTCCATTCTTACTCCCTGGAAGCTTGCTTGCTTTCTTTCTTTTTTTACATTACTTGGCCCTGATGGGGCCAAAAACAGCTCTGCCTCCACCTCCCATGTGCACCTTAACCACTTTTGGGATGCAGGGATGGAGATGCTGCAGCAGCACCTGATAAATTGTTGACTTTCTAACAGGACTTGCCTGTGAAAGTCGTGGCAGGAACTGGGACAAAATTCCCTTACCGAAGGCTCTTTTTCTTGTGGACACTCTTTCCTCAGCTAGAGCTTCCTGCTACCTTGGTGGAGGATGGGGAGGAGGTGGCGCATAGTGGGCATGGTCTCCTGGGATGGATTCCAGAGCAGTGCGAGGTGGGCAAACTGGGGCAGGCTACTTGACTTCTGTAGATTTAGTTTTCTCATGTTTTACAGTTGCGTTCCTACCTACACCGGGACTTTTCTTGTTTGTTTGTTTTAAATTTAATGAAATACTGAATTAAATTAAATTGAAATTGAAATTAAATAAAATACTACATTCAGGATATTACAAAAAGCATTTGAAGTATATACCAATGTAAGTTTTCTTTTTAAAATTAAACTTAATTTTAAAACATTGGTTGTCCAGGACACCAGAAAAGCCTCAGACTTTGTGTGGCCTTGGGTAGAAAGATGGTACTTGAAAAAGGATTTTTTACTTGTTGTCAGGTTTGTTTCAATGCAGTGGAAATTTATTCTCCATAATTTCTCGGTTTTGTTTAGTAATCATATCCTAGTCCTCAATAGATAATTATGGGAAAATAACATGTAAATGCATTTTCAATTTGATATTTTCAGTTTACAAATATAGAGCAATCATGTTTTCGATCTGGATTGGGAAGTTAGGAATCTATTTTAGTAGTTTTTCATCATTTAGACTGAAAGAACTATGGAGTTGGTATTCTGTTTCAATTACAAAGATATTTTTATCTCAGCAGCCTGAAAACATACTAATTTTATATTAAATCAATTTATTGTTTATATTTGGTAAAATTAGTACAAAATTTTCAGTTAAATCAATTTATTGTTTGTATTTGGTAAAATTAGTACAAAATAACCGTTCAATAACTTGTTCTTGCCTTCCAGTGAGGATGAACTGGAAGAAACAAATGGAAATAATCCCATTGACATTGAGGTTGATCAAAACAAGGAAAGCAAAAAGGAGGTATTTTTTCCCCCTAGTATTGTTTAGGCGAATACGTTTTATTACTAGTTTCATAAATAAAACATTCCTCTTGCTTGTTTTACTTAATATATTAAGTGCTATGTGGAAAGCAGCATGACTGTTTTTTCAACAATACTGTCTCTGCTTTGTAGATTGTATAATTTTGTTTGCCAATAGATATGAATAAAGGAAGCCTTAAAGGAGAGAAAATAGCACTAATGAGTAATGATGTTCCCTAGGACAGCAGTCCTCGCTGACTTTCTTCATAAACCATTAGCTCAGTAGGCTAGCAAGTGGTCTGGTGAATTCCAGGCAGCCTTAGGGTCTCCATTCACACTATAGCTGCCCCAGCATCTGCCCATCCTAGGCACCCATGCCATGCCTGGGGTGACTGCAGGGAGCTGGCCAGGGACTCAGCACAGCCCTCCTGTTACTCAGAAGCAATAATTTGGTCACACCAGGGTGAGCCAGGACCATCCTCTCTCACATGGTGACTGTTTCATCTCATCACTTAAAAAAATAATTATACAAGAGATTGTAGTTTCTGGATTCAGGGGGCTCGCGAACCCCTACGATTGCATGTAACTTTTACATAGGTTCATAGAGGTATTTTTCCGAAGACACAGTCTATAGTTTCAATAAAATTTCTCAGAGAGTTCTCTCTCTCTGCTCCAAATTATAAGAACAGTTATTTTATTTTATTTATTTATTTATTTTTATTTTTTATTTTTTTTTAGACGGAGTCTCGCTCTGTCGCCCAGGCTGGAGTGCAGTGGTGCGATCTCAGCTCACTGCAAGCTCCGCCTGCCGGGTTCACGCGATTCTCCTGCCTCAGCCTCCCGAGTAGCTGGGACTACAGGCGCCGCCACCACGCCCGGCTAGTTTTTTTTGTATTTTTTAGTAGAGACGGGGTTTCACCGTGTTAGCCAGGATGGTCTCCATCTCCTGACCTCGTGATCCGCCCGTCTCGGCCTCCCAAAGTGCTGGGATTACAGGCTTGAGCCACCGCGCCCGGCCAGTTATTTTAAGCCTGTAAAAACAGAAGGGTCTAAATTTAAGCTTTAAAATGACCTCAGTAATATATGCTTCTTATAGACAAGGTAGGAAATACAGCCAACTGAAAGAAGAAAATTAAAGCAATTTATATTATTATTATCCATAATCACTGTCAACCTTTTGGTGACTTTTTCCTGAGAACTCTCAGTAAAATGTATATTCTTAATTCTGAATCTAGTCACTTTTTGGAAATAATAAAATGGGAGCTTTGTAATTTTTCGAACCTTTTAAAATTTACTCTACCTTGGTTTTTTTTTTTTTTCTTTTTTGAGACAGGGTCTTCTGTGTCACCCAGGCTGGAATGCAGTGGCACCGTGACTCACTGCAGCCGCCAGCTCCTGGGCTCAAGCAGTCCTTCCACTGTGGCCTCCCAAAGTGCTGGGATAACAGGCATGAGCCATCCCCAGCCCAGCCCCTTGATTTTTTTTTTTTTTTTTTTTTGAGACAGTCTCACTCTGTTGCCCAGGCTGGAGTGCAGTAGTATGATCTTGGCTCACTGCAACCCCTGCCTCCCAGGTTCAAGTGATTCTCCTGCCTCAGCCTCCCGAGTAGCTGGGATTACAGGCACATGCCACCATACCCTGCTAGTTTTTTTTTGATTTTTAGTAGAGATGGGGTTCCACCATGTTGGTCAGGCTGGACCTTGAATTTTTTTTATGTCAAATATATTTGTATACGTAGCTATATATTATTCTGTCACATAAATGTTTCATAATTGAGTTACCTTATTCTATGTGGATTTCCCAGTTGTTTATTCTTCCTGTTTTTTGCTTTTATAAACAATGCTGGATTGATTGATTCTCACATAACTCAATATTTGTGCTTGTAGGTTTTTTTTTTTTATTAGAACTAATTCCTGGAAGTTGAATTGTTGGGTCAGCATGTTCTAGATATATATATTGTTGAGGCGTTTTTTGGTTATAGATCACCAAATTGGAAATTGGTCTTTTTTTTTTGCGTAATTTATATGAATGCCCAGATAAGATCCTGAGGGTTAGCTAAATTAGATTATTTGGGAAATCATATTGTAGTTGGAGTTTTTATTAAGCTTTGTTTTGATGTATTGCTATTTACCAGGTTTTTCAGTGGCACATTTTAAATGAGAGAAAACACTTGATTTCATACAATTTTTATAATTCCTGTTTATATAATGTTATTTCTGATTCAGAAAGAAAATGGCTAAATCATAGTTTCTTTTTTTTGGGATGGAGTCTTGCTCTGTCCCCCAGGCTGGAGTGCAGTGGTCCAATCTCAGCTCACTGCAACCTCTGCCTCCTGGGTTCAAGCAATTCTCTGCTTCAGCCTTCCAAGTAGCTGGGATTACAGGGGCCCGCCACCACACCTGATTAATTTTTGTATTTTTTACTAGAGACGGGGTTTCACCATCTTGGCCAGGCTAGTCTTGAACTCCTGACCTCAAGTGATCCACCTGCCTCGGCCTCCCAAAGTGCTGAGATTACAGCCGTGAGCCACCACACCTGGCCCATCATAGTTTCTTTTTTTGTTTTTTTTTTTTTGTTGTTTTTTTGAGAGGAGTCACGCTCTGTCACCCAGCCTGGAGTGGGTGATGCGATCTCATCTCACTGCAAGCTCCGCCTCCCGGGTTCATGCCATTCTCCTGCCTCAGCCTCCCCAAGTAGCTGGGACTACAGACACCTGCCACCACACCCGGCTAATTTTTTGTATTTTTACTAGAGACGGGGTTTCACCGTGTTAGCCAGGATGGTCTCGATCTCCTGACCTCGTGATCCGCCCGCCTGGGCCTCCCAAAGTGCTGGGATTACAGGTGTGAGCCACTGCGCCCAGCCGCCTGGCCCATAGTTTCTTTTAAGTGTTAAAATGATACTAGAACAGGCGTAGTCAGTTGGTGATCTTTATTAAACATCATGGTCCCATACAGAGCACAGTTTATTGCCTACTAATATTTTTGTATTACCGGCTTGTTGAAGAAATTATCTCTACCATGATAGTTTTGCAGTGTCTTTAGCTCAGTCTTTTAAAATACGAAGCAGAAAGTCATATTTTCAGCTTTATCAGTGAATGCTAATGCACTAACAAGATGAAATTATGAGCAATTATAAAAACTTCTTATTCTTAAAATGGTTACCAGTAAATTATATTCTTTAACTTGACAAGATTTTACTGTTTCATTTCTGAAGGTTTTGGTTTTACAGAAGTTAATAGCCGTCATGCATTTTTAAATGAGAAGGTATATTATTTTAGAGTAAGTCATATAAGTTGCCCTAAAAATTGTGTTCTCCAAAAATGTGTATAAAAAGCCATAATTTCATGTAGATAAATACAGATGTGTGTGTGGCCACAAAACTCATTAGCAGAGAATACAGATATTTTTTTAGGAAGCCAAGAATTCTTATTTTCATTGGCTTAAAATGATAGAGTAAGGAAGTCTTTGTACAAGGAGGAATGGAACACAGTTTCATTGTGTTTAGTCAAAACTCCATAGCCCAAATTCTGTCTGTGAACTGCCTGTTAGAATTTGTAGATCTCATTTGGTTCTGATAGGGCATGGTATTTGTCTTAGATTGTTTTGGTGCCATGCTAAGGAAATAAATACGTTTATTGACTTTTTTTTTAAAGTTTCATTTATCACATATGTATATCATGCAGGTGCCCCCTACTGAGACAGTTCCTCAGGTCAAAAAAGAAAAACATAGCACACAAGCTAAAAATAGAGCAAAAAGGAAACCTCCTAAAGGAATGTTTCTTTCTCAAGAAGATGTGGAGGCTGTTTCTGCCAATGCCACTGCTGCTACCACGGTGCTGAGACAACTAGACATGGAACTAGTTTCAGTCAAACGACAGGTACTCCTAAGCCGGGTCTTGGATGTAAAAGAGTTAATTAGCACTTTAGAGGTGTTTCTGTTATTCATATATGTGAACGTTCTCTTTCCATAAATCTCAAAGGAGCATTCTGTTTCTAAGGAATTGGACAGATCTTGAGTACTAGCCCATTGATTTTTTTTTTCTTTTTAATGAACATATAAATTGAGGTGGATGGATATAGTGTCATCTGAAAGTATTTCTGAAGTATATAGGAAAGCATATGAATAATATCATATTTATATTATATATGTGTCTGTGTCTCCATGATTTCTTGCAATATGAACACACCCCCGGAACCTGCATCTGAATCAGAAAATGGAATGTTACCCCCAGGCCCATGCGTTTTCCCTCCTGGTCACTATGCCATGGAATGCGGCATTCCCTCAGCAACTTCACCCCTCTTTTATTACCTACTTGTAGGTGACCACTATTCTGATTTTTTTTCTTTTTAATTTTATTTTGTTTTTGAGACAGTGTCTTGTCCTGTTGCCCAGGCTGGGGTACAGCGGTGCAATCTTGGCTCACTGTAACCTTTGCTTCCAGGGCTCAAGCGATCCTCCCACCTCAGTCTCCCAAGTAGTTGGGAGTACAGGCGCTTGCCATCACAACTGGCTAATTTTTTGTATTTTTGGTAGAGACGGGGTTTTGCCATGTTCCCCAGGCTGGTCTTGAACTCCTGAGTTGAAGTGATCTGCCTGCCTCAGCCTCCCAAAGTGTACTGAGATTACAGGTGTGAGCTACCACACTTAACCCTGTTCTGATGTTTAAACCATAGGTTGTTTTTGTCCATTTTTGAGTTTTACAGAAATCAAACTCATATGATACTGTTTATTTTATATCTGGCTTTCTTTCAACCTGAGAGCTAAACAGTTTTTCAAAGCGGTCCTGTTATTTGATGTGTGTTTTGGTTGCACATCAGCGTTTCCCAGCTGTAGCACTATCACCATGTTGGGCTGTTCTGTGCACTGTAAGATGTTTAGCAGCATCCCTGGTCTTGACCCACTAAATGCTAGTAGCACCCTCCCCCTACCAGTTGTGACAACAGAAGTATCCCTAGGCATCACCAGATTACCTCACAGGGGCACAATTGTCCCCATTTGAGAACCACTGCTCTACATCATTGCTACATTTTGGTAGTCTTACATTTTAGACCTTCTAATGGGTTATAATGATGCCTCATTGTACTTATTTGGCAGTTCCCTGACGGCTAATGAGGTTGCTCACCTTTTCATCCATTTGTTGGCCATTTGGACATCCTCTTTTGTGAGACGTACTCAAGTCTCATCTGTTGTTTCTGTCAGGTTGCATATTTTCTTACTGGTTTATAGGTGTTATTTAGGCTCTGAGTTGTTTTCTACAACTCGTATTGTAAATACTGTAAATATGTTTTCCATTCTGTGACTCTTAATGGTATCTTTTGATGAACAGTAATTTTAATTTTAAGGTAGTTTAGTTTCTTAGTCTTTTCAGGTTAGTGTTTTTGAGTTCTGTTCACCTTTCTCAAGGTCATGACGATATTCTCCCATGTTAATCTTAGAAGTGTTGTTTTACCTTTTACATTTTGATCTAGAAATGTTTTTCTGTATTTGTTGTTACATGTAGGATTAATAGTCACTGTTTTGTTTTCATATGAGTATCAATTTGGTCAAGTATTTATTGAAGAAACTGTCCTTTCTCCTTTGCAATGCAGCAGTACCTTTGTTTTACATCCAGTGTCTGTATGCATATGGGTCTGGGTCTCTGTTGCTTTGATCTGTTTGTCCATCCTTCACCAGTACATACTGTCCTAACTTTATGTACTTTATTTTAGTTATCTAGTGTAATATAAGTTCTCCAAGATTGTCTTGGTTATCCCTGGCCTTTTAATTTCCATATAAAATTTAGAATTACTTTATCAATTTTCAGAAAAATAATTTGAATTTTGATTGGGATTGTATTGCATCTATAGATAAAAATGGAGAATTAATGTCTTTATTGAGTTTCCTCATCAGTGAACATGATATACCCCTCCGCTTCTGTAGGCCTGTAATTTCTCTCAATGTTGTGTTGTTTTCTGTGTAAGAACTTACGCATCTGTTGTTAGTCATTCCATGATATTTGGTACTTTTTTGTGCTCTTTTAAAGGATATTGTTTTTTAAATCACTTTTTGTAATTATTTTTGCCTGCTATGTAGCTTATTATTTTAATCCGATTGCATAGTACATTTAAACTGAAAGTTCAACCTAGTAGTTGGTTCCTGTCCTTTCATTCTCTCTCTGGAATTCAGTTCCAGAAACCCATCAGCAAGTTGTTGACTGACAGTTTGTTTTTGGTTTTTGCTGCTTTTGATTTATCTTGATGGTTCCCTTGGAGGGTTAAACAGGAGACCAACTGTCGTCTCATAGACGCTAAGAGCAGGGTGTGCGGCCGTCTTCCTTCTGGTTTAGGGAGGCAGCCCAGACCGGGACCCACGTACACTCTGTGTGCCCAGAGGAGCAGCTTCTTGTCATGGCTGCTGGCACAGCTGCACTCTACTCTTAGGAGAATCACTTAATCTTTGTAGGCCTCTTTTCAAATGAGATTAATCCCGGCCTGCCTGATCTCCCAGAATGTGTCTGGGCTACTGTGTGAGAGAGCATTTGAAGCTCTGTTTGCGCTGGAAGAACTCTCTCTGGGGCTGTGAGCTCTTGTTGACATTGTTACCTTCCTTTACAAGGATGCTCCTTTTTCCCTCTGCTGAGTGAGCTCCTGGTGGTTGCTGTTTAATACATTGAGGAAAGAAAAAGAGGCCCTTCTCTTCCACGGAGGTGTTACTGACTCCATAGTATGAGAGAGAAAAGATTCTTTGGTTTTCAGAGCAGGGTCAAGAGCAAGAATTTTTAAAATTTGAAGGTCGCTCACAATTATGAAGAGGGAGGACTGAGCCTCATTCAGAGAGGAGGTGGGTGATTTCCTTTCCACAGCCTTTTAGGGCCACAGAGCAGCAGTGTGTTCATTGCCAAATGTGCTTCTAGACTCAAAATGGGCAGTCAGTCCACAGGGGCCACTTGTTCTGGAGGCCGTCATGTTTGGTATATGAAGGATACATTCTGAGAATAACAGAAAACTTGACTAACAACAGCTTAAGCAATTTAGGGTTTATTTTCCTCAAATAGCAAGAAGTGCCAGCATCAGTGGCCACTGGTGTTACTCATGTGTTCAGTGATGCTCTCAGGGACTCAGGTACTTTTCAGGTCTTCTACTCTGCCATTCTCAGCTGTTGGCTTTTCATCTTGCTTGTTGCCTCATGTTGGAAGCTGCTGGAGCCATTTTGCAACCCTCACATCTGCATTCAGGGCAGTATGAAGAGGAGGTGGGGGTGGAGGTAAGCAGTCTGTCCCTTTTAGCAGGAAAAGCAAAAGCTTTACCAGAAGCTCCTTAGCTGAATTCTGTGTGCCTGTGCTTTGTGTACTGCTCTTCCTCCTTCCCAGGACATCATCAGCCTCTACCAGCGAGAAGGGAGCTGGGCATGTCTCATAAATTAGCCAGTGAACAGTGCAGGTTGCATTAGGTCTTTCTCTGAGTGGAGAATAAAATGATCTGACATTAAAAGAGGAATCACTGGCCGGGCGCGGTGGCTCAAGCCTGTAATCCCAGCACTTTGGGAGGCCGAGACGGGCGGATCACGAGGTCAGGAGATGGAGACCATCCTGGCTAACACGGTGAAACCCCGTCTCTACTAAAAAATACAAAAAACTAGCCGGGCGAAGTGGCGGGCGCCTGTAGTCCCAGCTACTCGGGAGGCTGAGGCAGGAGAATGGCGTGAACCCGGGAGGCGGAGCTTGCAGTGAGCTGAGATCCGGCCACTGTACTCCAGCCTGGGCGACAGAGCGAGACTCCGTCTCAAAAAAAAAAAAAAAAAAAAAAAAAGAGGAATCACTATGCCCACAGTAAAGTAGAAAACAAAGTTCTGTATGACTGAGGGTTGGGTAGGAAGGTGGTGGAAGGGTGGTGGTGTCTAGGTAGGGTGCCAGGACAAGTGGATGGCTTTTCCATTTTTCATCTTGTTTTTTTCTTTAAGTGTGATTACCTTTGCATCCTTTTTCTTACCTGTTTCGTTGCCACTCACTTTCCAGTTAGCATGATGGTGGCAGCTAATCTCTGGGGTTTTTTCTGCTTAATAAACACTAGATGTTTGGGGGACGTATTTTGGTTTTTTTTTTTTTTTTTGAGACAGGATCTTGGTCTGTTGTCCATCCTGGGACTGTAGTGTTACAGTCATGGAAGGCCTGGGCTCAAGCAGTTGCCCACCTCAGCCCCCTAAGTGGGTAGGACTACAGGTGAGCACCACCACACATGGCTAATTTTTTAAATTTTTTGGTAGAGACAGGGTCTCGCTGTGTCACACAGGCTGGTCTTGAACTCCTGGGCTCAAATGATCCTGCCTTGGCCTCCCAAAGTGCTGTGATTATAGATGTGAGTCACTGCACTAGCCTAATTTTTTTTTGGCAGTATCTGGCTCTGTCACCCAGGCTGAAGTGCAGTGGTGTGATCTTGGCTCACTGCAACCCCTGCCTCCCAGGCTCAAGCCATCTTCCCACCTCAGCCTCCAAGTAGCTGGGACTACACAGCCTAGATATTTCTTTTTTTTTTTTTTTTTAAATTTAAGTTCTAGGGTACATGTGCATAACATGCAGGTTTGTTACGTATGTATACATGTGCTGTGTTGGTGTGCTGCACCCATTAACTCATCATTTACATTAGGTATATCTCCTAATGCTATCCCTTCCCCCTCCCCCCACCCCACCACAGGCCCAGGTGTGTGATGTTCCCCATCCTGTGTCCAAGTGTTCTCATTGTTCAGTTCCCACCTATGAGTGAGAACATGTGGTGTTTGGTTTTCTGTCCTTGCGATAGTTTGCTCAGAATGATGGTTTCCAGTTTCATCCATGTCCCTACAAAGGGCATGAATTCATCCTTTTTTATGGCTGCATAGTATTCCATGGTGTATATGCAGCCTAGATATTTCTGATATGGAAAATGCATCAGGAAGAGGGTATAGGCTACTGAGCATTTAGAGCTAACTTTTAGTTCAGAATTTGTAGATGTTTTGCATTTAATCTCTCTGCTTCTTTCATAACGTTACTTAATCACAGTGCAATATATACCCAGTTTTGTACTATGAACAACCAGCTAGAATGACAAGAGTGGTCTGTTTCACTGAAATGCAAAGAGGACATGTAACATTCTGAACCTTGACTTTTTCCTGCTACAAGTTGCTATGTTGCATTTTTAGCCAAAAAGGAATCCAGTGAACATAATCTGAGTACTTTGCAGTTTTCCTGGGTTTTTGGTAACTGAAAGACCACTGAGCAAGATCCTAAGATTGGGCCGGGCGCGGTGGCTCAAGCCTGTAATCCCGGCACTTTGGGAGGCCGAGACGGGCGGATCACGAGGTCAGGAGATTGAGACCATCCTGGCTAACCCGGTGAAACCCCGTCTCTACAAAAAATACAAAAAACTAGCCGGGCGAGGTGGCGGGCGCCTGTAGTCCTAGCTACTACGGGAGGCTGAGGCAGGAGCATGGTGTAAACCTGGGAGGCGGAGCTTGCAGTGAGCTGAGATCCAGCCACTGCACTCCAGCCCGGGCGACAGAGCAAGACTCCGTCTCAAAAAAATAAAATAAAATAAAAGATCCTAAGATTGTACTGTCTAGTATGGCAGCCAGCAGCCCCGTGTGTGGTTGTTTAAATTTAGATTAATTACAAGTGAAAAAAATTTTTAAATTTTTGGGTAGCATCTTCTACTCATGAATGTCTTTTACATGTTACTTGAGAAAATCAAGCTCCTCTTCCCTTGGATTTCTTAGTTGCTTGTGTGAGTTTTCAAAGATGAAAAATGCTGGAGTTCAGAGTTCCCTGGTGCTTGACACAGATATGCCTTCTACTTGGAGTAGACAGAAAATAGCATACTTCCGTGACCTGTCTCATTCAAGGGTCCATGGGAAAATTAAAGAGCAGCCATAGCCTGGGTGGTTGGTATTGTTTGTGGTCTTTCTTTTGATTGCGTAAGAGCAGGGAAAGATTACCTTGAGCCAAGGCAGTAATGTGGAAAAAGATAATTTGTAGGAAAATGAAGTGACAGTTAATCAAAGTTAGACTTCTAGAAAACTCACTGATACTGTATTCTCCCTGCCCTCCCATCATTAAACCTGTGCTTGTGCACTTCCGCCCTGTGAAGAAGTGGTGGACAGCACAGTGATCTTGGGGCACTGTGAGGCTGTACCTGCAGTTCTGTTGTAAAGACTGGGCCTTTTTGGTCTTTACTGTGGCTGCTCTGTTATTTCAGTTCAATCCTATGTGGTAGGAAGCCCAGGGATTTCTTCTGTCTTTTATATAAGACTCCAGGTAGGTGTTTTGCTGCTCATATATCACCTGTTAGGAAGCTGTGGATCCAGGACTGTGTACGTGAGAGCCCCTCCATCCCCTCCTCCTTGGGTTGTACCTTATCGGTTGCTCCGAACAAGCAAATAATAAACGTAGTTAGATGCTTCAAAGGATACCATAGGGACCTCAGAATTCAGCTACAATAGATGTTAGTAATGTCTTTATTCTTGGGTCTTTGTTTTTTAAGTTCTGTTTTCATACCTTTATGTAGTTTTTATTTTTAAAATGAAAATCATTTTTTCCTTCCTAGATCCAGAATATTAAACAGACAAACAGTGCTCTCAAAGAAAAACTTGATGGTGGAATAGAACCTTACCGACTTCCAGAGGTAGGATTATGTTAACATCATCTCAGAAGTCATGCTCAAGTTTTACATGTTTAAGAATTTAATATCGGTGTGGTACATCCCCAATGTACATCTCTTGGAAGAGTATATGGACATAATTTTATGAACCTAGTTGATGTTAAAATTCCGATAAGAGAAAATGAAAGTTTCATTAAACATACTCATCTCTAAATGTAATGTGCTAAAATGTCTCATTGGGATATCCAGGTCATTCAGAAATGTAACGCACGTTGGACTACGGAAGAGCAGCTTCTCGCCGTACAAGGTAGGGGAAATTCCTCGAAAGAGTTTAGGAGGCCGGGTGTGGTGGCTCACACCTGTAATCCCAACACTTTGGAAGCCTGATGCATTTGCTTGAGCCCAGGAGCTCAAGGCTGCTTTGATCCATGATCACACCACTGCATTCCAGCCTGGACAACAGAGTGAGACCCCGACTTTAAAAAAATTTTTTTTAAATAAAAGAGAAACAAAAAGAGCTTAGGAGGATTGGTAGATTTTAGGGAAAAGTTATGTCCCGCCCTATTCCCAGCACCTATTTATGTAGAAATAGATTCTTGGACAGTTATGTTCTAGTGGATATCATTTTAGCCAAATGACCATATCCCTTTCGGCTTTTTTCTTTTCCTTTCCCACTTCTCACAAGTTGTGAAAACTTAACCTGGAACCCTCAGTTTTCTAAAGGTGTGAGTATTTCATTTTACTAGTTACTCATCGCGCTCTGACTAGTCAAGAAGTACAAAACCCTAAAAGAAGCAGACAGAGTGTTCGGATTTTAAGGTTGGGGGCGCTCTGGACCTGCGATACCAAAAGATGAATGCAGAATGTCCCCAACCCTAGGGCAGTTGCTGGGTGACTTCAACTGTTACGTGACATGTAATGGGAAGACAGATGTCAAAATGTCAGGGTCGGTCATCTCCAGAATGTATCTAGAATTGACTGGTACTTTTTCCTACTCTTATAATACATGAAATTAGTGCCTGCTGTTAAAAACCTATATGTTTTCTTATCTGGATAAAGAGGTAAGTGTCACTTGTGGTTTTAAAAAAATGTTTTTCTCTTGTATTTTAAAAAATGCTTTCTTACATCCTTAGCCATCAGAAAATACGGCCGAGATTTTCAGGCAATCTCAGATGTGATCGGGAACAAATCAGTGGTACAAGTGAAAAACTTTTTTGTAAATTATCGACGCCGCTTCAACATAGATGAAGTTTTACAAGAATGGGAGGCAGAACATGGTAAAGAAGAGACCAATGGGCCTAGTAACCAGAAGCCTGTGAAGTCCCCAGATAATTCCATTAAGATGCCTGAAGAGGAAGACGAGGTAAATCTGAAACAAAACAGTCACTTCTCTGTCAGGTTCATGCTTGATATTGCAGTTTCTAAAGTGATGAATTTTTTCAGCTGTAGAGATTTTTAGGTTTCAGCTGTGTTAGTAACTTCACTATTACCTGTAAATAGCCATAATGTGTATGCATTGACTCCAGTTCTTGGTCCCTGTATATTATTCACATTTTAATTTCTGGGCAAATTCATAATTCCATCCTGGTTTCCTCCAGCTACAAAATACTCTGCATTATCAGTTTTTCCTTAAATACAGTAAAATCTTGAATGACAAAGATAAGGGAGTGGGGGCACAAACAAAAAGTGAAAACGCAGTGAAAGCCATTCTGAAACACTAAGGTGGAAGTTCTGTGAGGAATGTCAGTGAAGCTCAGTCATCTGAAATGTGTGGTCACATCATCATGAGGTTCGTGGACTTCATGGGGAGTCTGCACAGCAAGCCAACGAGGAACTCTTGAGACCTCTCCCTGCTGTCCAGATCTTTCAGCCTTTGATGCTCTTTGGAGCTGATTGGCTTAAATATTGATGGGGACAATTCTGTGGCTGGCTGGAACTTCTGTGATGGTGGCTAATTTCTGGAATGATAGCCCTGGTTTCATCTCTCACCTTCCTGCTTCCCGTGTCAGGGGCACCTGCCATTTCCCCATCTAGCCTGGCCTGCCTTGCTGTTATGTTTGTGCCTCTACTCCCAGAGCAGATGAGCCTGGGGCTGGGCATAAGAAAGAGTTACTTGCCAATCACTTCACATCTGAATTTATTCACAGGCATGATAATTTAAGAATTAATTTAGCTTTCACATCAAAGCCTTTTCCAAACCATACTGGAATGATTTGAGATTACCTGTTTTGTATTGTGTGTGCTACCATTTTGCTCCGAGGGCCAGGCTCTAGAAACAGCCCAGAAGGCCCCTCCTGACCTGAGCATGGAAGTACCTTGGGAGGTATTGGCATTCCCCGCGAGTGTGGTGCCACCACTCCATGCAGGGCCTCTTTGCCGACTGGAAAAAGGACCTCAAGGCACAGCCATCTGTAAGAACACCATTGAAACGTATGAATTTTGTTAGAATTAGATTCTTCAGAGCCTTTTGCCAGAAAATCTTGTAATAAGTGTACCAAATCTATAATATTGCCAAGGTCAGTACCCCTGAATCACCCCCATGAATAGCTCTGCCTGAAAAGAACATGTGAGTAAAATAATGGTGTTTTTGTCTTTCAGCAGTGATGTTTTTCTTTGTTCTTCTTTGTTTTTATTTTCAGTAATTTCTGTACCAGCACTAATTGCCCCTGTTAGCACTCAGTTTAGGAAGCATTGAAAGCTGGAGACTGCTGGGGAAGAACCGTTAGAATTTGCAGGAATGAAAGCTTGCTTCCTGTGTGTGTTTTCCGGCTTCAGTCCCAGGATGACTGGAAGCAGAAACAGTCGGGAGCTCTGGCTGTATTCCCTCTTCACATTTGATCAAAGCCAGTGCTGGCTGGGCTGGCATAACAAATCTCATAGTAAATTTAGGACCAAGAGTCACTACCAACAGGATGTCAGTTGTTGTGCGTATGCTTTTTTCTTCATTCTCTTACTTTTGGATCATTGGTTGACTGACTTAAGTGACTCAAGTATTTTTTTTTCTTAACCTTGTATTAGCCCAGAAGGTTCCTCCGTAATGATCCACTTACCATGTGGATTGCACATCAAAGCACCGTCTTTCTTTTCACAGTCTAGTTATGGCTTCTCCGAGCAGCAGATCATAGTTTATTCCTGGTGGTTGATCTTCCATGTCTCTGTTTACCCAGCCTTCTCTGTAAAACAGAATGAACTAACTCGAGTTTAGTGCTGCATAGTCCTTATATCCCTTTACAAACTTTTTACTCCGCTAGTCATTTAAAATGTACACCCTCATACCTTTCTTTTCTTGTTCTCTTTCTTTCTTTCTTTTTTTTGTTTTTTCTTTTTGAGACAGAGTCTCCCTCTGTCACCCAGGCTGGAGTGCAGTCGCGCACTCTCAGCTCACTGCAACCTCCGTCTCCCAGGTTCAAGTGCTTCTCCTGCCTCAGCCCTCAGCCTCCCTAGTAGCTGGGATTGTGGGTGTGCACCATCACGCCTGGCTAATTTTTGTATTTTTAGTAGAGATGGGGTTTCGCCATGTTGACCAGGCTGGTTTCAAACTCCTGATCTCAAGTGATCCGCCAGCCTCTGCCTCCTAAAGTGCTGGGATAACAGGCGTGAGCCACCTCGTCCAGCCTATTTCTTGAGTTTCTTTCTTTTTCTGCTTCTTGTAGTGCCAGCCCTGCCCTGCCACCACCTGGTTTTCTGTTCTCCATATGTTAGTTTGCAGAAGGAAATTAATCTAGTGACCAGCTGCTTCTCTGTGTCCAAGGGCCTAAGGGAACTTGTTAGAATGCTGGCTTACTTGTGTGTCTGGTGAGTCCGCAGAACTTGGGGTGTGTGTGATTTCACCTTTTTATTTGTCCTGTAGAGTCCAGCAGCTGAGAAAGATGTCTGCTGGTGTCCTGCCTGTCCCCTCTGCCTCAGGTTTTATGTATTATACAGAAGCCACAGGGAGAACATGATAATTCCTAGAATTTCTAGTAACAGAATGGTCTGTCAGTTGTAGATTATTTCCTTTAGGTCTTAGAGGTGGGTTGGTAGCCCAAGTATTTTGAGCTTTTGAAATTGGTAGTTACTTGATGTGGACAAGGGTGGGTTGGGGACGGTGTCACAGCCAACCTTACATTGAAGAAAGGGTCCCATGGGATGGAAAGAAAGATGTCACTTAAAATTACAAAATGATTGAGTCTGTTACCAGTGAGGAGAAATCTCCTCATTTATCTAAGAACAGTTCTTGTAAATTGTATAATTTTTAACTGAAGGAACAATCACTTTGAGATTTTGGACACATAGCCCAGTTGTTTCTCTAGCAATAAGATACCATGAGCGTGGCAGAGAGCAGTAAGATGTTATGCAACCTTTAGGTTTGGGTCTGGGAGTCAGTTTTAAAAAATGGGAGAGGGGAGTTAGGAAATGCCTCATAGCTTTTAAAGAAGATCCTGAGATAGTATGGGCTCCTGTATCCCTTCTGCAACCAGTGGCTGGGCGCTGAATGGGCTGGGTGCCACAGCATGCCCTCAAGCCAGTGAGAGGAGTTAGGGCTGCCACTGTGCTCATATGTCCTTTTCAGGGTTTTTTGTTCATTTGTGTTTTTGGGACAGAGTCTTGCTCTGTTGCCCAGAGCAAGTGGAGTGCAATGGTACGATCTTAGCTCACTGCAACCTCCACCTCTCGAGCCCATGATTCTCGTGCCTGGCTGGGACTACAGGTGTGCGCCACCTCACCCGACCAATATTTCTTTTCAGTAGAGACAAGGTTTTACCTTGTTGGCAAGGCTGGTCTCAAATTCCTGGCCTCAAATGATCCACCTGCCTCAGCCTCCCAAAGTGCTAGGATTACAGGCATGAGCCACTGTGCCAGGCCATTTTCAGGCACTTAAATTTAATCCTGGTGAAGTAGGTATTATCACTATATATCTTCTTCACGTGAAGAAACTGAAGCTCAAAAAGACTGATAACTTGTTTGCACAAATCTAGAAAGTGGGAGGGCCAGGGTTTGAGCCCAAGACGTCTCGCTGGAGAGGCCACACACTTGCCCTGCCCTTAAGAACATGGTGCGCTGGTTGCGGTGACTCACACCTGTAATCCCAGAACTTTGGGAGCCCGAGGCAGGCAGATCATGAGGTCAGGAGTTCGAGACCAGTCTGGCCAACATGATGAAACCCTGCCTCTACTAAAAATACAAAAATTAGCTGGGCGTGGAGGCGGGTGCCTGTAGTTCCAGCTACTTGGGAGGCTGAGGCAGAAGAATTGCTTGACCTGGGAGGTGGAGGTTGCAGTGAGCCGAGATGGCACCACTGCACTCCAGCCTGGGCGACATAGTGAGACCTGTCTCAAAAAAAAAAAAAAAAAAAAAAAAAAAAAAAACAAGGTATTTGCTCTGCAGGTGTGCTGGCTACCTTCTCTTTTTAGTACACTGGAAATAGCAGCTTGTGTTGTTTACCTACTCTTTGATCCTTTTTTTTCTTTCTCTTGGCCTCAGGCTCCTTCTGTTCTGGATGTCAGATATGCGTCTGCCTCCTGAGAAACTCTGGTGGCTTTGGACACTTGGTGTGGACTACTGTGTTATCCGGGATATCAGGTATTATGAGACATCACCTAGCCATCTGCATCACATCTCTCTGGACAAGCAGCTATTACCAAAAAAGGCATATACTTCCAGTCCTGTGCTCCATCTGCCTTAATTCTTTGCTCGTTCCTCCATGTTGGCGCCACTTCCCAGAGAGCTCCACTGCATCTCACACTCTGCCCACGTGCTGGGGAAATCTCATGGCCTGCACATCTCTTGTGACTCTGGGAACCGCCTCCCCCGCCGGAGCCCCCGAGCCCCACCAATGGCAGCTCTTCCCAGTCAGCAGCTTCAGAGCAGGCAGTCTCCTTGGAAGGCCCGACTCTGTTCCTGCATGGCCTGCAATTTCTACTTTGTGCATAGAGTAATTTTCAGAGTAACCGCGACCCTGTTGGCCTTCTAGAAAGTTTGTCTTTTTCTTTTCTGAGACAACCACCTAAGTGATAATATGCTTTTTTGGAAATCAATATATATTGCCGGACTGCATCATAACCTTTATCATGCCAAGCATCCTGATGCAGCTCACATTTCCCTAAACATGGGTTATAGGTATGGTTTATAAATTGAGTTGGCTTAAACCTCTCCCTTCTCCCTTCCCAAGTGTCACAAAGCTCATTTACTGCAACTGTCATCGGACACTGTAGCTTAAAGGGAATGTGGACCTCAATGCTTTCTGCCTTCAACTTCTCAGCATTGTGACCCCAGGGTGGGTGCCACCCCATCTTTTCCTGCCCCCCATCCCCACCCCCACCCCCCACCTCCAAGAGGTTCGGCCCACATCACTGTACCTGGTGCTTGTACATTTGGAATTGGTGCCTTCTCCTTTTGGCAACCATGGTATCAATCCCTTTTCTCTTTTAGTGTCTTATTTCTTCTTTCAAGTTATTTGCTAGCCAAAGATGACATCACTGAGATTAGGAGACAGGGGAGAGCTTGCTGCAGATTCTGACAGTGCAGATTTTAAATGTCAGGATATTAGGATAGCTGGCGCTGGTTTATGAAAGCTGCACGTTGTTCCACGTTCTCTCGGTGTGCCTGGCCCTTTAAGTGGCACACTGTATGTCAGTTTGTGTCCTTCATGTGCTGATGTGATTACACAAACACCATCCACTCTCTTTTCATATCAGAGTACAGGACAGAGAAGTGATCAATGTATTGGTCTAGTGAGACTGAGATGAAAAGAAATAACCTACAAAGTGGTCTGTAATGCCTTTTGGTTGGACTGGGAACAAGTAAAAATTTCTAATAAACATCTTGAGACTTCCAGAATCACTTTTGTTATCTTACCAGACCTTGGGCCTGCTGAGGGTTGAGGAGCAGACAGACTGCATTCTAACATACCCTGTTCCCACCCCACGGCCATTCAGACTGCACTAAATACGCTGAAGTTGCTTTTGTTGTTGTTATTTGCATCGTTTGGATATTTTTTTTTCTGCTTTCAATACCAAAAAAATGCAGATGCTTTAAGGCATAAACAGAATTCTTAAGAATTTAAAATATGCAATTAAAATTTGATATGTTTTGACTCCCAAGCACCTTGTTTTTTGTTGTTGTTGTTGAAATCAGCTGATTATCTCTTTAGAAAGAGGGTCAGCTAGAAGCCTAGGTTTTTTGGAATTGCAAATTTTTTTTAGTATAGTCTGGAGAAAGGTCCTTCAAAAGGGAAGTTCAATGGGACTTGCCCGCCCTTCATCATCTCGTTCCCGTGCCAGGTGTGTGTTGGTCACGTAAAAGCCTGGGAAGCATCAGAGGAGTCCCGGCTTGCCGCTGCTGTGTGGAGACAGGGTTAGCAAAATGACACTAGTGATGAGGGAGGGGCTTCTTTTCACCATAAGCCTGCTGTGTACACCGAGGGCGGCGGGAGAAGCATGGGAAGGAGTCAGCCTAAGTTTGCACATTGCGTGAAGGGGACACTAAGGTATGAGCTGAAGCTTTAGGTTCTCCTTGCTTCCCTCAAGACCTCCTTCTTGCTAACAGAAGCAGTAGGCAGTTGCTGCAGTATGTTTCTCACCCTGCCAATAGGTCTGTCTGTATCTCTCTTAAGGAAAATAGCCTGGTCCCTCCTGGCAGTGCTTGGAAGCTTGATGCTGATTCTTATATAGCGTGGCAAGCCGACCAGCAGTGCCAGGCCTTCATCTGTATTCTGCACTATCCCTTTACTGGGTTCCTGGCACTGAATGGCCTCCAGCCCTGAAGAATCACTTGTGATCACAGCAACTGAACTGGGCTTTCTCCCAGAGAGGAAGGGGCATGTCATTTTGACTTGACAGAGGGGAAAATGGGAGCTGTCCTTGACTGCCTTTGTTGTGCTTTCCCGCGTAAGATAGCACTGTGTTTTCAACTGTTTTCATTACACCGTCTTTGCAATGATGTAAATGTAAGAGATCACTCAGCTTTAAAAGCAAAGTGGTTTCATCTTATTTATATGAAGACTTTTTAACATATCAAGAATTAGGTGCATTGGCAGGTAGGGTTTGGGGTGTGATAACTGCTTCAGATGGAATGTTCACTTAAGCTTTGTCTTCTTAAAAATTATCAATGTGAATGTCATAATTATATATATTTTTGTGGAAAACTTTCTCCTAAGTATAAGTTATTGTGCAAAATATAGTATCATTGATGCAAATAATAGTTTAACTTTTAGTTTAGAAATCCTAAAAGATATAAATTGTATTGCATATGCATTAAAAGTTTGTTTTATTTAATTTTATGTAGATGTGTAAAGTGTTAGGTAAAATTTTTTTCACTTACCCATTTAAACACCTTGTTACTTGAATATTGTGTTGACTGGTCTGCAACAGTGATCCACTCTGTAATATAGCTCTTTTAACTGGGAAGGAACCACGCCCCAGCTGTGCTGATTACATTAGTGTTGGCACACAGTCGGGTGCTTGTGTAACACAAATGCCACGTTGTCTGGGTGTACAGTGTTTGTGGAGACGCCACTTCCTCAAAATGGTTTTTGATCGTTTTTAACCTGTAAGACCTTTTGATGCTCACAAACCTCTATTCAACACACAAAACAAAAATGAAAAGGTAGTTGGGTTGTACAAGTTGACTGTGGTGGACTCATTAAGCGGTGGTTTTCTGTTCATCTAAAGTTTCCTCAAATACCACAGACCACTATTAAGTGTGCTCATTGTCACTTTAAATTTCAGCTATACCCTATTTTTGTCATTCTAAATATCAGACGTACTATTGGTATAATTGCACACCAAAAATAAGCCAAACAGTGCATTATGCTAACTGGATCCCTGCTTTTATGTGAGCTAAGGAAAGATGGAGCCAGCTCCAACTAGGGCCTCTTTTTCTCTCTCGTCTATCCTGTTTCTAAACCGAATGATCCAGGATTCAAGCTTCTAGTGTCAAGTGAAACTTTCCTCAGATGAACTCCAGGTAGCTAGGTCACCTAAATCTAGTGGTCCTGTGTGATGCTCTTTCTGCCAGTCCCTGAATCTCTGCAGCTTCTCTTACCTGTAGTTAAAGCACAATTGCAGTGACGTCGCATTCCGAAGAAGGAAGGTCAGCAGAGGCTATGCATGTTGTGTGATGATGAGTGTTTACAGCCACCTTCTCCTAAAACGAAATTTATACTGGGGTGGATAGTATTCCATTATGTAGACTTATCGACTTTGCTAAGTGCTTTTTAGACAGCTTAAAAATTTTCAAGATTTTAAAAGATGTATAAGGTTAAGTTTGCAAATATAATGGAAATGCTGTATATCTTTTGAAGTGATAAACTCCACGTTGGAATTTTAAAGAAAACATGTTGTAATAATGCTGTTGTAAGTAATATTTTAATGTCTCTCTGCCTGTTTTCTATTTCAGCACATTCATTGTGGTGAATGTTCATAGCATTATAACTGCTTAGCCATTGAATGATAACATTTGTTAGTGGAAATTGGAAAATTTATTTGTGAAATTCTGCAGAATTCATTTTTCTATTTCCAATATTTGCTGAGGTTAAATAAAAAATTTTCAAGCCATTGATGTAATAAAATATGAAATGAAAGCATTTTCTGCACCCCACGCTCCATCAAAGCAGTAGCCTACCCTGTAACAAAGTGGAGTTCCTTCTCTCCTTTTGAGTGAGCCTTGGGGTTTCCAAATGTATAATTTCCTCCAAATCAGACCCTGTGGAAATACCACCAGGGATGCCTTTTGTTCTTAACCTTTTGCTTTACCTGAACCTACATTTTTTTTATATATATGATACTTTGATAGTTGGAATCAAGTTGAAGCACATGAATTCATAAAGTTTGTGATAGTTGTGGGCTTAAATGCAAGGGTTCAGTAGGAGACCTTTTCCCCCCGTGGATGGATTTTCTTTTTTCAGCCTGACCAGGGTTTTGGCCTGATCCCTGGAGGCGGGCTGGTGGCAGTGCAGAGGCAAGATCACTGCCTCTGTGGCCTCCGTTCAGCCAAGAGTGCATGCGCATCAGTGCCGGTGGTTTCCTGAGGAGCATGAAGAAGCTGGCGGTGGCTGTGGTCTCGTGGTCTTCCCTTTATTAGCTGGTTTGTAGGGTTTGGTTAGATAACTACTGTAGATTTAGGCTAGAAGTCCAGTGCACTATCCATTGTTGCCACTGAGCCTGCTCACTAGGTAACTTCTATAGAAATCCAATTTCTAGGTCCAGGCAGGTGACGCTCCTGTGTGTGACTGCACAGTGTAGGAGGGTTGTAGAAGGGTGACGGGGTCCAGCCTTCCCAGCGTTGACAGTCTAGTGGAGGACACTGCACATATCCTCCAGGTGACAACAGTCAGCACCACAACAAGTAGAGCCGCAGCTGCAGGCGGGTCTGGGAGGGAGGTCGCAGCCGCCTTGCGTCTAATTTAGAGAGTGCCTGTCCTGGAGCTGAGCCTGTGGAAAGGGGAGAGTCTCCTTGGGTGAGGGTGGCACCTAGGGGCGGAGGCCAAGAGTGTTGAGACCTCTGCTGTGATTTGTGAAGGTGGCTTGTGGTCTAGAACAAGAGGAAATGAATGCCAAGGACAGAGAGGAGGAAGGTTGAGGCCAAGGTGGCCCCCTGCCAAGATGCTGCTCGACATCTGCTAGGATGGGCACTGAAGGTGGAGCCATTGGACTTGGCCGTTATTGACTTAAAAGAACCCCGGGTGATGGCTGAGGCTGGGAAGAGGGAGCAATGAAGGGACTGGTCTAACCTGAGCGCATGCAAGGGCACAGGATAGGAAGGGATAGCAGGCAGGCTGTGAGTCCCGAATCAGGGACGCATGGAGGCCCTGGCTTCAGTCCCCCTTTCTCGGACTGGGGGGGGAAAAACACCTGTATACAGGTGTAGATGAGGCGCCTCTGTGCCTCGCTTCCCACGATCTTGGCCCTCCCCACAGCCCCAGCTTCAGACAGGTGTGACTGCAGCACCCTGAGGTCGGCGACCTAGGGGAGCTCAGGAATAGCAGCCTGGAAGTAGCAGAGAGTTCCATCCCCAGGGGCAGCTCTGGGTAATCTGGGTAAGGCAGCCACATAGAGTGGCTCCCCCTCAGCAGCCCCCTGCAGAGACCAGCTCAGACATGGTCTAGGACTGATTCTCCTTCCCTGCCTCACTTTTTCTGTCCCCGTATTTCTGTTGCCTGGGATTGGTTTCAAAAGCAAACCATTTATCCACAAAGCCTCATCTCAGGCTTGCTTTTGGGTGGAATCTAGGCCAAGATAGCACCAAAGTGAGAATCCCAAGGCTTGGAGAGGCCTGGTGAGATCCCTGCCGGGCCTGTCCCAGCCTTTCAGCTTATGGGAGGGAGAGATCTTGAGAGCACTTGGTGCTGACACTGCTGGAAAGGCCATGGTGGCGCCCACGCCAAACGGGGAGCAGCTGCACTGCTTGGAGGCAGGTGCCAGCTCTCAGCAGTCCCTTCCCTGCAGCCCCCAAGCACCGTGCTTCCCACACTGCAAGCACATGCTAGGCACTGACTCTTGGCGCTGACGGGTGTGTGAGGCTCCTGGCAAATTGCTTGCCTTTTCAACAGATGAGAGGCCGTGCTTGGGCAACATTTGGACCCAGACTAGCTCATGGATGACCCTGACTTATTCTTTGTTTTGGGGTCTTTTTTCTTTTTCTTTTTTTTTTTTTTTTATGAAATTGAATCTTGCTCTGTTGCTCAGGCTGGAGTGCAGTGGCGTGATCTCTGCTCTGCAGCCTCCACCTCCCGGGTTCAAGCGATTCTCCTGTCCCAGCCTCCTAAGTAGCTGGGATTACAGGTGTGCGCCACCATGCCCAGCTAATTTTTGTATTTTTAGTAGAGATGGGGTTTCACAGTGTTGGCCAGGCTGGTCTCGAACTCCTGACCTCAGGTGGTCCACCCGCCTTGGCCTCCCAAAGTGTTGGGATTACAGGAGTGAGCCACTGCGCCCGGCCAGTTCTTTGGTTCTGGGCTGAATGGAACCCATCCCCCAAGAAAGCTCCCCAAGTACACTTTCCTGTTGTCCCAGAAGCAGGAGCACAGTCACAGGCCTTGAAGCATCCGCTTGCCTGCCAGCTCTGCCAGCTCGCCCTCCCTTTGCCATTTCCCCACTGCCTGGGTGGTCCGTCAGCACCTGCGGACTCTACAGCGCTCACACCTAAAGCCCTGTGCCCAGAGCTCAGCTGCCACTGGACCACTCCACTCCCATGTCCATCAGTGCCTCCAAATTACACACAGTCTGAGACTAAGACCCTTTCCCTCCCTTTCTGCACCCTTGGGTGTACACCCTGTGTCTGTCACTGCCCTCTTCGGTGTGCACGCTGTGTTCTGGTCACTGCACCTCTGTGTGCACGCTGTGTGTTGTCACTGCAGCCTCTTCGGTGTGTAGCACCGCTGTGTGTCTGGTCACCAAGCTACAAGCACTTCGATTCATCACTACTGCCAAGGATAGCACAAGTCCTCCCTCCTACCTGAGGGGGTGCCGGGGCCTCCTAACCTACCCCTAAACCCCACCATTCCTCTTGCCTTTTCTCTCCCACTCCCCACCTAATCTCGTGGGGAAAGCGGAAAGCATTGCATCTGTCTCCCAAAAAATGCACAGCCCTTCATTCCGCCCTAAGGCCCTGTAACCTGACTTCAGGGGCTGGGCCTGCCCCGGGCCCAGTCATGCATCCTGTCCATCTCTGGTCCTGACGAACCCCTTCCCCCACCTACTGCAGGGGGACTGATTCTCGGGGCTTCTACAACTTAAGTCTCATTCTGTGCTAATCTCTTTGTGCTAAGTGTAATGAAGTGATTTTAAATTCTTATTTTAAAAATAGGTAACTAATGTTCCTGGTATAAAAGGCCTACGTGAAACATGAGTTTCTCATCCCTGTCCTCTAACCACCCAGTTCTCTCCATAGGCAGCCATTGCTGCCTGTTCCTTGCGTATCCCTCAAGGGATGATCATACATTTGCAGGCATGCATGTGTGCAAACACATAGATGGCACACTCTGTACACTAGCTTCGCCCACCTGACACACTGATAGTCTTCTCAGCCTTCCTGCATCAGCACATATGTCTAAAGTCAGTTTGGGCCGGGCGCGGTGGATCACGCCTGTAGTCCCAGCATTTGGGGAGGCCAAGGCAGGTGGATTACCTGAGGTCAGGAGTTTGAGACCAGCCTGGCCAACATGGTGAAACCCCATCTCTACTAAAACTACACACACACGCACACACAAATCGCTGGGTGTGGTCACAGTGCGCGCCTGTAATCCCAGCCACTTGAGAGGCTGAGGCAGGAGAATCACTTGAACCCAGGAGGTGGAGGTTGCAGTGAGCCGAAATCGCGCCACTGCACTGCAGCCTCGGTGACAGAGAGAGACTGTGCCTCAAAAAATTAAAAATTAAAAATAAAGCTGCTTCGTTCCTTTGTATTGGCTTCATGGTATTCCATTTATGGTGGCAATTATTTATGGAAACCGTCGTCAATTGACAGGCAACTGAAGTATCCTTTGTAAAACAGCAGAATGGAAATCACGTGTCGCTTCACCTATGTGCCAGTGTAGTTGTAGGATAAATAGAATCTCTGGATGAAAAAATCTGGTTCATTTTTCCTTTTGATATGTACCACTCACTGGCCTTCCAGAGCAGTTGTATCAGTTTCTCCTTCTGTCTGCGTGAACAAGGGCACTTGTCGCCCCACGCCCTTCCTAACGCTGTGATAATTGCACATTTTGATCTGAGGTGTTTGATAAGCTGTTGGGCTCACTAGATTGAGTTCCTTGAGGTCAGCACTGTTGTGCTCATCTAGTTCCCCACAGCTGGGAATAACAGGCACACAGATGTGTAGTAATGGAACAGAGAAATCGGGTGCATTGCGGAGGAAAATTAAACGCCTGCTGGCTCTGTGCTTAGGGATCAAAGGCCCTGCTATGGCTTATGAGTGACTCCCAGAGAGTGGGGTTCCCAGCTGCCAATTCCTGCATGTCCAGAGAGGAATTAGCTGAGGCTTGGGGCTTTCTGGGCCCTTTTCTTGCTTATTGAGCTATCTGCTACTTAGATATTTATTGCCAAAGGACTAGGGGAAGAAACATTCAAATCTGAAGGCCTGGTGATTATAGATTTTTGTTTGTTTGTTTTGAGACAGGGTCTCGCTCTGTCGTCCAGGCTGGAGTGCAGTGGCCTGATCTTGGCTCACCGCAACCCCCACCTCTCAGGTTCAAGTGATTCTCATGCCTCAGCCTCCTGAGTAGCTGGGATTACAGGCACGTGCCACCACACCTGGCTAATTTTGTATTTTTAGTAGAGACGGGGTTTCACCATGTTGCCCAGCCTGGTCTTGAACTCCTCACCTCAAGTGATCTGCCCACCTCAGCCTTCCAAAGTGTTGGGGATTACAGGCATGAGCCACTGCACCTGGCTATAGATTTTAAATGAGGTTGAATGTCAAATTCTAGGTCCTCCATCTCCCTGCATTCTTTGGTGCCCTTCTTACCGTCCACCCTCCTTAGTGGGGAGTTGGCTGGCTGATACCTGTGAGGAAATTGACCGAGTTCTGGCCTGGACAAGCTGAAGACACCTTCCTGCCAAGATGGGGCAG